CAAAGTCAGGGGCATCCCTGGGGGAAAGGACAAGCAGACACTTGACCTGATGGGAGCCTTTATTCACACACTCGCCTCCCCTCCCCCCTCCACTTCTCTCTTCTCAGGCTTTGGGAATTGGGTGTAGCCCTCACTCCCGTGAGGACACCCAGCCTGGCCCCCAGCAAACCTGGCTGGTTGGAAGGAGTCGCAACAGGAGTGCTGCGACATCCCAGCATGAGCCCAGACGACTGATACTGTTCACGCATAGTTCTCCTTGGACAGCTGCTGGTCCCCCTGGGAGTGCCACTGTACTGCTTGCTCCCTGCGGGGTTCATCCTCAAGGCCACTCAGCAGTGGCTATGATAAATTATGATAAATGTTGTCCAAGGGTCAGTGTTCAAAGAAGAGGAACAAAGGTAGTCAAGGGATCCCTCTGCCCCCAAGGGAAGCAGTAGATGGGGGAAGTAGGCCAGGCCCCGCTGGCTCAGGAACTCAGGCCAAGCCCTGGATATGCACGGGTGGTGCCGTAATGCCCAGCTCCTCCCGTAGAGCCCTCAGGGACTGCTCCCAGCGCCGCTCATAGTACAGGTTGAGGACACACGGGGCTCTGCGCCCATTCTGAACGGCCCATGGGATCAACTCCGAGACCAGCACTTGCAGGCTCCTGTGGGGCAGCAGAGGAAAAAGAAAACATCAAGTCCCTGGGGGCCAGGCACTCGACTGCTCAGCACTTGTGCATTTTCTCAGTTCATCCTCACAAAGACCTCGGAAGGAGGTAGTTATTATCCCTGCTTTTCAGATGAGGCAACAGAGCTCAGTGAGGTGGAATCTCAAACCCAAAGCCACTCATCTTGAACATGTTGAAGCTCAGGTTTAAATCATAGCTCTCCCACTCCAGAATCTAACACCAACTTGCCTTCCCACTGACGCTCATCATTCTGACCATGCACTTAGGCCTGGCCCAAGAGACCCCAGAGTCCTGTGAAACTTATAGGCTTTATTTGCTCACCTGAAGACCCTTGCCCCAGGCCAGTTTCACATCTCTGCTCCATTTTTTCTACCCTTACTTCCTGGAGAACTGGAAGGGGCAGGGCAGGCGCCCGTGTGCTCTTCCTACTTCTAGGAGCCCTTGTCCCTCTGAGTTCTGTCCTGACACCACCCTCAACCCTGACCCAGCCACCACTTGAAAACTTACTGAGCACTGAGTTGGATCGGTCCAAAGAGAGCACCCAGGATGCACATGGGCAGGCCAGTCTGGACAGCCTCAAACCATTTCACCACGATCTCCCCTGGGGGTGAGGGATGGGTTGGGAAGTGAACAAGCTATCTGAAGGAAAGGCCAGTGGTGTTCACAGCAGGGCAAAGAGAGGCAACTGTTCCTCCTTAATCTCTACCAGGGTCAGCTGTGCCCAGTCCTGGCCTGTGCTGGGCCCTAGGGCACTTGGCTTCGAGTACGGGAGAGGGCCCAAGAGTGAACAGAAGGGAATAAGGGATGGAAAGGAAGCCTGGGGTCACAGCGCAGAGGATCCCATGACCCCATAAACCAGGCTAAACACTCCAGGATGCTTCCTGCAGGCCTTAGGGAGCTACTGAGGTTTCAGAGCAGGGAGGCAGCTAAAGCCCAAAAGACACCAGGAGTCTTGAAGATGGGCTGCTGCTACACTAGTGCAGGAGCCCTGAGGGCCAGTGGGAGGGAGAAGGGGGACATGTGGCAAAGATGCTACTAAGATGTTCAGGTAAAACAGAAATTGAGGCACCAAGCCAGGTGATGCAGAGGGTGGTGGAGATAGGCAAACCCTGCCCTGGCCCTGAAGCCACCCCAGGGAGACAGGCTGTCAGGGTTGGGGGCACTCACCCAGGATGTTAGTGGGCATTCCCAGCAGGGTGTGAAGCATGTCGTGCACCTCCCGGTATCGCTGAATCACATACGCTAGCTCCTCATCATCCACGAAGCGGGTGGGTGCTCGGGTGTCTGGGGAGACCCTCTGACAACCATAAGCGCCCCCTAGAACCCTTCCTGATGGTTCTCAGGGCCCGATTTGCCAGTCTGTCTCTGACACTGTCACAACTCTCACCAAACTCATACCCTACTGGAAAACTCTGGCGACTAGCCGGGGGCCGAGGCTCATGCCTGTAAATCCCAGCACTTTGGGAGGCTAAGGTGGGCACATCACCTGAGATCAGGAGTTCAAGACCAACCTGACCAATACAGGGAAACTCTGTCTCTACTAAAAAATACAAAAATTAGCTGGGTGTGGTGGTGCACACCTATAGTCCCAGCTACGTGGGAGGCTAAGACAGGAGAGTCACTTGAACCTAGGAGGCGGAGGTTGTAGTGAGCCGAGATTGCACCACTGCACACTCCAGCCTGGGTGGCAGAGACTCTGTCTTGAAAAAAAAAAAAAAATTAGTCGGGTGTGGTGGTGTGTGCCTATAGTCCTAGCTACTCAGGAGGCTGGGACAGGAAAATTGTTTGAGCCCAGAAGTTTGAGGTTACAGGGAGCTATGACTATACCACTGCACTCAAGCAAGACATTGTCTCTAAAAATAAAAAATGAAGCCCCAAAAACCCTGATCCTAGCACAAGCTGCTCCCAGCTTGGGGTGCTCTCTCCCACTACCCCTATCTTCACTGTGATAACTCCTACTTATCCTTCATGACCTGGGTTAAGTGTCCCCTGTCCCCCATCCCTTCCCCCCACCACAGAGAGGCCGCCCCTAACCTACAGACCAAGTGGGTTCATGTTATGGTCTCTGGAAGCATCATTCACCTCTTAGTGGCACTCAGAATAATTGTACCTTGATGTTTACTGCATGTGAGTATTAATGTCTCCTAGACTTGCACTGTCCAGTATGGCAGCCGCTTGCCACATGTGGCCAAGAAAGGTGTGTCCAAGTGAGATGTGCTGAATATATAAAATACACACAAGACTTCAAATACTTAGTATGAAAAAAATGTACAAATCTCAATAATTTAAAAATATTGATTACTTGTTGAAATAATACTTTGGATATATCGGGCTAAACAAGATGCATATTTAGAATCAATTCTAGCCAGGCACGGTGGCTCATGGTTATAATCCCAGCATTTTGGGAGGCCGAGGTGGGCGGATCACCTGAGGAGTTCAAGGCCAGCCTGACCAATATGGTGAAA